CGCGCTGCGCGGTCGCCGTTCTGACTCACATGCCTGCGGACAGCGCCGACGGGTGGTGAGGAGGGCGGCGAGCCGGCGGGCACGGTGTGCGCGCGGTCGCCGCGCGCTGGTGGGCGACAGCTCACCGAGCGAGGAGCGAGGAGCGAGGAGCGAGTCGGGATGCCCGGTCCCTCAAATCGCCAAGTCAAACAAGAAAAACCGCGCCGCTGGCCGACTCTCGGAAGTACGCTGTCTTCCGTGTCTAGGCGCACGCCCACGCCCTCAGCCTCGAACTGGCCCCGCTACCTGCCGCGCAAACTGGTTGGTGGGGGGGGGAGGCGGCGTCGCCGTCGGATCGTCGTAAGCAGTGCATGCAACTTTGGTCTTTGCGCCCAGAGCTCGTGGCGCGAGCAGATGCATGCGCGGTGCTGAGAACCTGGTTCTCCAGGAGGGGCAGGCCGCGAGGAGAGACCTCACACGAGCACTCAAGGCAGGGCCCCCAGGGGGTGCCGAGAGATCACACCGCCTTTTCGTGCTCCCTGGCTCCCTGCTCCCCCCTCGGTGCCCGGTGCACCCGACACACGGTGTCTCCTGAGACGCTTCCCTGTCCAAGTATAGTAAAATGTGATCTAGTATGCAAGTGCCATCTCAGAACAGCTGTGCATCTATAGATGCTTGTGGCGTCTAAGATGGAACGCGTAACAAAAGACACGGCGCGGCTATCTCCAGCCATCCTCCGGAGCATGGCTGGTGATAATTCGATGGCAGCCGTCCGCCTCCCCCGCCACACGCACAAATGGCTGCGCGCTTGTCGCCCCCTGGCCTCGCGGGACGGCTGCCATCGGCTGCCATCGAATTACCACCAACCAGCCATGCTCTGGAGGATGGATGGCTGCCATCTCTATGACGCAGCCATAGTAGATGGCTGAAATGGCTGAAATCGCTGTCCCCCAGCCATCTTTCCCAAGATGGCTGCGATGTAGCCAGCTCAGCCAAGAGCTCACCTCGAGGCGGGGAGTTTGTTGTCGAGGCGGGCGGTATGGCTGCGGTAGTGCGTCTCCAGCCATGTCTACTAAGGATGGCTGCCATGTGTGTGTTGCAGCCATCGGGCTGAAGGATGTGGCTGCACTGTAGCTAGCTCAGCAGTAAGATGGCTGTCTAGGAGCCAGCAGTGTTAGGTAGGTAGGTAGTAAGGTGAAGAACAGCCAGGCTCGGACTGGACACCAACGCGGTATGGGTGGACGCTGGACAGATGATGACGACACGCACGAGCGACACACAGACACACACAAGCTCACAAGACACACAGCCAGCTGGCTGCCACACACCCTGAGTCGTCGTACACCTAACTCAGGGCTACATTCCGAGGTTAGCCGGACCAAGAGAAAACGCAGGCGCTCGCCGTTCCAACTCGCGCTACCTATGGGCAAGTGCCAGAGCAGAAGCTGCCCCCGCCGGAGCAGCTCCTCTGGCTGCGCCGGTTCTCTGCCCGAAATACTGCGGCCGTACACGGCGGATACTGAGCTGCGTGTCGACGTCGAGGGCTTGCGCCAGTTTCTCAAGCTCGAGCAGGGAGAGGATGGGGAGCGGGCCGAGGCGTGGATCGCGGAGAGATCCTCCGACGGCGCGCTGCCGCGCCTCGACCTCCTCCTGCTGGACGAAGCCGCGAACGCCATATTGGATGCGCAGGCCGCCGCCCGGGAGGACCCGCGCGACCGGGCGCTGTCAGACTACTTTATCTCTGCGTCGCACAACACGTACTTGAGCGGGAACCAGCTCACTTCGAGCGCGTCCGTCGAGGCCCTCTCGCACGCGCTGAGGATGGGCGTGCGCGTCATCGAGCTCGACGTGTCGGACGGCGCCAAGGGCTCACCAATCGTCAAGCACGGCGGTGCGCAAAGGGCGGCGAGGGTGGTGGGGTGAGGGTGGCGGCGAGGGTGGTGGAGAGGGAGCGGT